AAAAAATACTATGAATAACTGTATTCCAACAAGCTGGACAACCTGAACAAAATGTACATATTTATTAAAAAAATACAATCTTCCAAAACTCAATCAGGAAGAATCAGATAACTACTGATGAAATTGAAGCAATAATGAAAAAAAACTACTGGCAAACAAAAGCACAGATCCAGAGGTCTTCACAGGAAAGTTTAACCAAACATTCAAAGAATTAACACCTATCCTCCTCAAACTATTCAAAAAATCCAAGAGAAAGGAACACTTCCAAGCTTTTTTTTATGAGCCTAGCATTAGCCTAATTCAAAGCTAAATAAAGACATTACAAAGGAAGAGAATTTTAAGCCAATGTCGCTGATGAACATAGATGCTAAAATCCTCAACAAAATTTTAGCAAATCAAATCCAGCAGTACATTAAAAAGATCATTCATCATGACCAAGTGGGAGTTATTCCTTGGATGCCAGGCTGGTATAGTATTTGCAAATTAATAAATGTGATTCAGCACATAAACAAATTGAAAGAAAAAAAATCACATTATCATATCAATTGTAGAAAAAAATATTTGACAAAATCCAACACCCTTTTTTAAAAAAATATAAACTCTCAGCAAAGCGGGACTAGAGGGATCATATCTCAACATAATGAAGGCCATATATGACAAACCTACACCTAACATCATATTCAATGGGTAAAAAACAAAAACCATTTCCCCTAAGAACAGGAACAAGACAGGGATGCCCACTATCACCACTCTAAGTCAACATAGTACTGAAAGTCCTAGCCACAGCAATCAGACAAGAATAAAAAATGAGACATCCAAATTGGAAAGGAGGAAGTAAAACTGTCATTATTTGGTGTAGTGGTTGAGTGTCAACCTATGAACCAGTAGGTCATAACTCAATTCCTCGTCAAGGAACATGTCTGGGTTGCGGGCTCGATCCCCAGTGTGGGGCATGCAGCAGGCAGCCAAACAATGATTCTTTCTCATTATTGATGTTTCTATCTCTTTCTTTCCCTCTCTGAAATCAATAAAGATATATCTTTTTAAAAAGAAATCCCTAAAGACTCTATAAAAAACTACTAGATTTAATAAATGAATTTGGTAGCATAGCAGGATACAAAATTAACACCCCCAAATTGATGGCATTTTTATATACCAATAATGAACTCTCAGAAAGAGAAAATTTTAAAAAATCTCATTTATCATTGCAACAATAAAATGAAGATACTTAGGAATAAACTTAACCAAGGAGGTAAAAGACTTGTACTCGGAAAACTATAAGACGTTGAAAAAAGAGATAGAGGAATATATAAACAAGTGGAAGAATATACCATGTTCATGGATTGGTAGAATCAACATCATTAAAATGTCCATATTACCAAAAGCAATCTATAGATTCAATGCAATCCCTATTAAAGTACCAATGGCATATTTCACAGTTCTAGAACAAACACTCCAAAACTTTATAAGGAACCAAGAAAGACTCCCAAAGTTGCAGTAAATTTGAGAAAGAAGAACAAAATTGGAGGCATCATAATACCAGATATCAAGATATACTACAAATCCACTGTACACAAAACAGCCTGGTACTGGCACAACAACAGGCATATAGATCAATGGAATAGAACAGAGAACCCAGAAATTGACCCAAGCCATAATGCTCAATTAATATTTGACGAAGGAGGCAAGAGCATACAATGGAGTGAAGACAGTCTCTTCAATAAATGGTGTTGGAGAAACTGGACAGGCACATGCAATACAAAAAAAAAAAAAAAGAAACTAGACCTCTCATCTTATGCCATACACAAAAATAAACTCAAAATGGATATAGGACTTAAATATAAGTTATGAAACCATAAAAATCTTAGAGGAAATCATAGGCGGCAAAATCTCAGGCATACCATGTAGCAATATCTTCACCGATACATCTCCTAGGCCAATGAAAACTAAGGAGAAAATAAACAGATGGAACTACATCAAAATACAAAGCTTCTGCACAGCAAAAGAAACCATGAAAAAGGTGAAAAGAGAGAACATATTTGCCTATGATACATATGATAAGGGGTTATTTTCCAAAATATATAAGAAATTCATACAACTTAACAAGTGCAAAACAAACAATCCAATTAAAAAATGGGCAAAGGACCTAAATAGATACTTCCTCAAATTGGATATACAAAACACCAAGAGACATATGAAAAAATCCTCAGTCACTAATCATCTAAGAGATGCAAATTAAAATAACAATGAAGTATTAGTTCACAGCTGTCAGAATGGCTACCATCAAGAAATCCACAAATGACAAATGTTGGCAAAGATGTGGAGGAAAAGGGTACAATAGAGATAAATTTTTAAAAAGTAGCCTGCTATATTTGGTCAAACATTTATTTAAGTCACTCCTAATGCCTTGGCAGGACCAGACCAAATGATTTTGTGGGCCTTATACAACCCCGGAGCCGGACGTTCCCTATTCCTGGTCTAGATAAAGGATTATACATACATACATATGACTATAAAACATTTTAAGTATAGGAAATTAGATGAGCATGATTGTACCTATCATCAGTAACATCAATGGCAATGTTAATAGTGATGAAAATGTAAGTATAGGCTCTGTAAGTCAAGGCTTATAGCAGGGGCTCAATAAATGCTTGTCAAATTACTGAATGAATGCTATAGGGAACCTTTGTAGAATGAAAGACCATATATACCTATTGATTGGGCATCTTCCCTTAGTACCTGAATTGGTGCTTTTAAAGACCATTTTGTGCATTTTCTAATAAAAATAAAAAGGGTAGAAAATAAATATAAAATATTATAGAGGTAAAAAGAGTAGAAAATAAAATCCTACCCTGGGGTGTGGTTACTTATTAATTACAGAAGGTGTTTTTTTTCACTGGACTCTTTACCATACTGCAATATAGTGTAGTGGTTAAGAACAGTGTCTCTGGACCAGGCAGACGAGGCTCAAGTTCAAGCACTGCCACTTAACTAGCCATGTCTCCTTGGGAAAGTCACTTAACCTCTCTGACTCAGCTATCTCATCTTTAAATGGGTACAAAAATAACACCTCACAGGATTGTTTTGAGGATTAGGGAGGTAGGTTATCAGATTATGTAGACGAATGTACCCCCAAAGATGTCACACTCTAATCCCTGGAACCTGTGTTATCTTATATAGCAAAAGAGACTTTACAGATGTGATTAAGTCAAGGATCTTGAGATGGAGAGATTATCCTGGGTTACTTGGTGGGTCCTTATAAGTGAAAGAGGGAGGCAGGACAGTCAGTGTCACGGCGATGTAAAAGACTTGATCAGCCCAATTGGCATGGATTAGTGGTTGAGCGTTGACCTATGAACCAGGAAGTCAAGGTTCCATTCCAGGTCAGGACACATGTCCGGTTGAAGGCTTGATCCCCAATGTGGGATGTGCAGGAGGCAGCCGATCAATGATTCTTTCTCATCATTGATGTTTCTATCTCTCTCTCCCTCTCCCTCATCTCTGAAATCAATAAAACAAATATATATATGAAAAGACTTGATCAGTCTTTGCTAGCTTTGAAGATGGAGGAAGGGGACTATTATGTAAGGGGTGTGGGCCACTTTTAGAAGCTGGAAAAGGCAAGGATCTAGATATTTCTTATAGCTTTCAGAAAGAAGACAATCCTTCTGACATCTTGATTTTGGGTCAGTGAAGTCCATTTCTGACTTCTGACTTCCAGAACTGTACAATAATAAGTTTGTGGAGCTTTAAGTAACCAAATTTGTAGGTAATTTGTTATAGCAGCAGGATACTAATCTAGGTGATTATTACTCTATTTACAACTCCTTCACTTCTGGCTTTTCTAAACTTTCTTTATAGGGGAATATAATTTTAAACACTCCTCCAAAATCAAAATGAATCTTTTTGTCCATGTGCACACTATTTTCCAGCTCCTAGCTACTATTAATGTCAAGGCAGCCACCTGTTAAGAGTAGCTCCTATTGCCAGAGTGACTCAGTTAATTGAGCATTATTCCATGCACTGAAAGATTTTGGGTTAGATTCATGGTCAGGCCACATATCCAAGTTTCGGGTTCCATCCCAGTTGGGGAGCCTATGGTAGGCAACCAATGGATGTTTCTCTCTCACTCACATCGAGGTCTCTCTGTGTCTCTAAACATGTCCTTAGGTGAGGAGGATTTAAAAAAAGAGTTGTTCTCGTTCTCTGCAATGGACAATGGACAAGGGGCCTCTTAGGTAAGCTGCAAGGCTATATTTAAAACATCCTCTTTAGGTTTTCCACTTCCACATGGAAAATCATGTGCTTTAATCAATGGCCTATGCAATGAGTTGGGTCATAAAAACCGTGCTCTGAGTTCCTCTTCAGTGAAAAGCGAACTCCTAATTATGGCCTTTTTTTTTTTTTTGGCAGGGGGTTCTGAGCTTAACATAGAAGTCCTGGAGTAGGAGTCACTCCTGCTGGTTGAAGGCCCATCAGAATTAGAGTAATTCCTTAACTAATAAAGAATTTAAAGATTAAATAAATAAATAAATAAATAAATTTATAACACCATAAAAAAATAATAAAAAATAAAATACTACATGGGTTAAAAAAAAAAAAGAATTAGAGCGATAGGACCAGGAGAAAGGGTAGAGAAAAAGAAGTTGGTAAGTCAGAGGGAGGTTGTAAGGAAAACAAATAAACAATCCAGCCAGCTAATGGTAAATGAGAGATGGCCTCCCACAATGTCTTCCCGGGCTCTGTTCCAGTTTCTGAAATTTTCCACATAAGACTCAAGGGTGGCGCACCTGCCCCTGGAGGCTGGGCTGGGCCCGCGAGCCTGGGGCAGGCTGGAAATGCCTGTCTGGGAAAGCTGCTGCTGGGGCGGGGTGATCCGGAGATGGTTGGGAGGAGTCATGGGGCGTGAAGAGGAAAGACTACATCTCCCAGGCCTCCACGCTTTCCAGCTGGAGTCCTAGGGCGCTGACTGCTCCCCAGTTTCCGTAGGGAAGCGCCAGGCTACTGCACCTATTGTGTGTCGCGATCTCGCTCTCCGCTTCCCGCTCGGGTGTCTGTGGAGGAAGGCTACGTTTCATTGCCGCCTAGGCTTAACCCCTCCGGTGCCTAACAGGACAGTAAGCCGGCTCCCTGCGACCAGGAAAAACTCCTGGGAGCTGGAGGACTCGGGTAACAAGACCCTAGGGTGCAAAGAAGTCAGTTGAAGAAGGAGCACGAGTGCTAGGGCTCGGTACCCCAGCTTTGCTGGGGTGGGGAAGAGGCGCTGGCTTTAAGAAGGGGGAGGGGAGAGTGCAATCCGGGTTGCCCGCGGACTTCGGCAAAGGAAATCTGCGAGCTCGGAAGCGAGGAGCAGGGAGGAGAGAGGAGGGGCGGCTCCCATCCCCAGCTCCCGCCCCCGCCTACACCCTGGGCGGGCTGAAGTATCACGTTTGCACTTAGAAGGATCCTTCCCGTCTCTGGTGGCGAGCTGGGCTGCGGTTTCTGCTGCCGGTCTGGGGAGGTGATGCCTAGGGGGTATGCTGATTGCTAGGCAGCACCCGCTGGGATCCGACTGCCTTAGTTACCTTTCCTGGTCACCTGAAGCAATCCTAGGATCGCCCGTTTCCGGTTCAGACCAGCCAGGTCTCCCCAGGAATCTCATCAGAACAGGTATCTGTCCTCCAAAGGGGAGGGAGGCTGCGAATAATCCATCCCATCAACTAACCCTACTGTGCCACTGATGCTCTTGGTCTTTGTATCTTTCTTTTCTCCTCTCAACCCGCGCCATCAGAACCATGGGGCATCCCCCTCTGGAGTTCAGGGACTGCTATCTGGACAGTCCCAATTTTCGCGAGAGGCTCAAGTGTTATGAGCAGGAGCTGGAGAGGACCAATAAATTCATCAAAGACGTGATCAAAGACGGCAACGCGCTAATCAGCGCAATGAGAAGTAAGTGAAAGGCTTGGGGATGAGGTGTGTCCTTCCTTGATCCGGTGGTTCCGGCCTTCAAGCTTTTTCTCACCGCAGGGGGAAGGGAGGATTTAGAACATTGGGCCTTTACTTTTAGTGGCCTTGACCTTGTAAGACACGATCTATTGCTGTGCCAGGGACCCTCTTGCTCTGCAACTATCATGGCACATTGTTCCAAAGGGACACTCTGCCTGTACTGTCAGACATGTTTAGCATCCATGCCTGCCGCAAGGGGACATCCAAGCTGACCAAGTAACTGCTCCAGCACCTCCTAAAGAATTGGGAATTAGGGTCAGCAGCTTGAGTAGTGGTTTTGCCCTGGTCTCTAGTTGCTACAGGTAAGTGTGGGGACAATAAAACATTTACATGGCAAGTTATTTTCTAAGGAAAGCACGTTTGCCCCGGTGATTTTTTTTTTAAGTTACTGAGCTATGGTTTTGGTTAAGGTCAGTCTAAGCTCAGAATTACTGGATGGCCTCACATGCCACTGAATTCTGCTTAAGTGTGGAACAAAGACCTGCCTAGTCTCTGGCACAAGGAGCCTACCCTCCAGGGAGCAAATTACAGGGCTAGGGTTGGGAGCCATAGGACTCAAGGAACCTCACCTAGCTTGGCTTTCCCAGTGGTCACAGACAGCTGTGGGATTCTGACCCCCCACCCCCAGTGTGTGGAGTTTTTATTTCTGCAAGTTAGCAGAAGGCTTGGAGTAAGAGAAAGAATAATAAACATCCCCAACAAGAGTGCAGGCAAATCAATCCTTTGTGCCAAAGTATATACCCAGAAGAATGGATAATAGTGATTGGGTGGAGTGATAATTATTTTTTTCTTTTCTTGGCTGAAAGATGATTGTGAAAAATAAAATCAGACTCACTGGCAAAAATGTCCTGTATGCTTATAACTTCGTTCTGAGTGGATTTATCCCAAACACACTGTGTCCAGGTCCAGTGTGGGGACCTTCTTAAGGCAGATGCAGCCAACCAAGAGCAGGGAGGGAGAAAGGCTTGGAGCATCAACACAATGGTAACTACTACCAGCTGGTATTTGTTATGTAGCTCTTCCAATTTGTCCCTTGGAATCTGTGCTTTCCTGGCACATGCTGTCTGCCTACTTTAGTCAGAATATATAAATTGTCCAAGTGACTGCCTGTCATTTGATTGAATTTGCTCATTTAATGGTTTGTCCTGTTGTGGCAGCACCTTAAAGATGGCATATTTGATGTTGATCCTTAGAGACTTATAGGCTTTGGGATGTTTCCCCACTGAAGAGTTCACTTAGAGATTAAAGATATGCAGGTTGTGCCAGAAAGGTAGTTAGAAAGGTGAGGGTTCACCAAAAGGAAAAGGGGGGAATGTTCGGGTTTTCTTTTTATTTACTTATTCCAGTAAATTGCTTGGTGCAGTATCCACAGTCAAGTGAAGCTCCTCATAAAGCCCCAGGAAGGAAGTTTATGAAGTATAAGGTAACTTGAAAGTATTTGTGTTAAAATAAAATGACCAGGTAAGGCATATCATAGAGATTAAGATTCATAAGAAAAATTAAACAATTCAATGAAACATTTGAGGAAGGCAAAAGCTTAGTAAGCTAGGAGCAAGAATTAGTTTTATTCTTTCCTTTTCTGAGACTGAGGCTGGTAAGAGTCAACAATTATGCAGGCCTAGACCTTTGAATATGTGCAAAAGATCCAAGAGCTATTTTGACCCAGGGGCCTTCTTGATATTTTACAGTGGTTTTCTGTTTCTGAATATGCATAGAAAGCCCAAAAGAAGACAAGTAGGAAATAAAACCAAGAAGCTAACCCATACTCCATTTCTTTCCTGTAAGTTGCATGATTCTAAAACTGTAATTAGCAAGAGGCAAAGGCTGGATGTTTTTCAGTGTGTTGACCACAGTTACGTTTATACTCCCATTCTGCTTCTTCATGCTGTGCTAGCTGGGCATCGGTTTGAGAGTAGGTGGGGGTGGGAGGAAAACAAATGTAGACTCTTGCTTTGTGTGGAGGAAAAAGAAGAGAACACTGGGAATTGGATTTTTAAGACTTGGTTTACCATCCTGGCTTCATCAACCTGGGATAAGATGGCACAAATCACTTACTTCATCTGTAAAGTGGGGGTAATTATACCCACCTCACAGGACTTTTTTAAGGCTCAAAGAAGGTAATAGATTATGAAAGCGCTTTGTAAATGGAAAGAGCTAAACATTGTAAGTTGTTCATAATACATCTTCAGTTTAATAATATATCTGCTGGTGAATGTGTACTTGTCAGGAGGTTTCTGAAGGGAAATGCATCAGCAGATATAGTTGGGAGCATATTTTTGTTATCATCTTGTTGGAAAATGTTACAGCAGTTCATTTTGTATTCATGTGTGTGGATTCATTTTGTCATTTGGAGTCTGGCATTAAAAGTCAGGGAAATGATTGATACCTTATTTATTTAAATTATGAAGCTGACCATGGAATCAAATGGCTAGTGTTTCTAGGAATTAATGAAGCATGGTGCATGGTGCTGTAAACTCCCGCTGCAGTTTTTGTGACAGTTGTTAGCCTAGGTGGAACTTGATTTTTACATTTATCCTGCTCAAGTCTGATTTTGTACAGAGCTCTAGATGAGGTTTTAGTCACAACTGTGTGTGATGCTGAATTTATTAAATGTAGGTCCTGTTTGAATATTTAGATTTCTTAGCTCTGTGCTCAGAGATAATTGAGATTATTAATGATATTCAACATGTTTTCCTTGGGAATATGATTGATTCCCCCTTTAAATTTGATCCAATTATAATTGTTGAAGTACAGGATGAAGCTTATAACTTAAAGTAATGAAAATAAACACACTGCTACTCTGAAGGTGAGTAATATTGCCCTTTTTCTGTTTGTTCTTTGTTTTTATGTTGGCAGTTTTGGTCCCTGATGTGTCTGAATATTTTCTAAGCTAGGTATTCGGAACAAGTATCCTGTGGCTCCTGCTTATATCCCAATGGAACATGATATACCTTATAAGTGTTATTTATAGTTCCATAAATACATACCATTCATTCAGTAAATATTTTTGCACATACTATGTTCAAGTCATTGTTCTCAGGGCTATTAAAGATGTGACAGAGTGAGTCACAGATGGATCCTGCCCTAAGGAGTTCCCAGACAAGATATAGGGAGAGATCAGTATTGTATAAGGTAGTAAATATGGATCAGAGCCATAAGAGTGGGACAGGTAGATACCATTGTGTGTGACATCAGAAGGAGAGCTCATTTCCCAATGGGAGGACAAAGAAAAAGGAAGAAGGAGCATTGGAATTGGTCAGAATGAATAACACTTACCACTTGTTTAACTGTTCCCACGTATAATGTATTCAAATCTTGCAACAGCCTTAAGAGGTAAGGATTATTATTCTCATGTTATAGATGAGAAAACTGACCATTAGAGGCCTTATATAACTTTCTCTACTAATAAGGGCAAAAGTCTGAATTAGAACCCAGACCTGACCCTAAAGCCCTGCTTATTTTATTACATTGCACTGTATTCAGGACAGGGCATTTATTGGAGTAGTAATGACACAGAATGTAAAGGGACAGCAAATAATTCAAGTCATATGGAATATGAGGTGCAGGAAGGGAAGTTTGGGAGATAAAGTTAGGATGGAGGGTGAGGAACTGTTAAATACTTAAGACTTAAAAAATATATATTTTTTTATTGATTTCAGAGAGGAAGGAAAAGGGAGAAAGGGATAGAAACATCAATGATGAGAGAGAATAATCGATTGGCTACCTCCTGCACACCCCACACTGAGGTTCGAGCCTGGAACTTGGGCATGTGCCCGGATCGGAAATTGAACTGTGACCTTCTGGTTCATAGGTTGATGCTCAACCACTGAGCCACACTGACCGGGTACTTCAGACTTTTTAAAATTAAACTTATTGGGGTGACATCATATGATTCTTAACTTTTTCTGTCTGACTTATTTCACTTAGCATAATATTCTCAGGGTCCATCTATGTTGTTGCAAATGGCAGTATTTCATCTTTTCTTATGGCTGAGTAGTATCCCATTATATATATGTACCACATCATCTTTATCCCATCATCTATCGAGGGACACTCTAGTAGTTTCCATGTCTTGGCCACCATGAATAATGCTGCAATTAACTTTTCTTCATAAGCAGGGAGTACTAAAATGTTTTTGGTGGGAGAGAGGCATGGATTGAGCTGTGTATTATGAAGATTCATCTGATAGTGCTGGGTAAGGTGTTAGCAATTTCACACAAATATTCGTGACTTTTCAGCAGTTAATTGGCAGCTTAAATTTTCTTTGATGTAGCGCAGGGGTCTGCAAACTTCTATAAAGGGTCATATTTTAGGCTTTGAGGGCCATGCAGTCACTGTGGCAATTAACTAATTGCCATTGTTATGAGAAAACAGGTATAGATAATACGTATATGAAATGAGAATGGCTGTCTTCTAATAAAACTTGATTAGCATTGAAATGTGAATTTCACATAACTTTTACATGTCACGGAATATTATTCTTCCTTTGAATTTTTCAATTGTTTAAAAATGCAAAAACCATTGTCAGCTCAGCTAGGGTACATACAAAAATAGGTGGCGGGCTGAGTTTGTCTCTGGTTGTAGTTTGTGGACCTCTGATATAACTAGTTAACCTAAAAAAAAACCTAAGTGGATTTTTATGGGTAAGGCAGTGAATATAGCTATTGGGAAAATATTTCACATTTTCCATCAACTAGTTTTACTTTGTCATGCTGTTAATTATGCCTGCTCTAGATTCAGGGATCACAGGCTCAAATGCTGTGAGAGGCCAAGGGGAAAACAGAAAAGTACGAAGCTCTTGGAAGTGGGTTAATAGGATTGGAGTGATTGGGGTAAAATATGGCAGCCTTACCCCATTCAAAAGGTCTTTACTTACTTTAAAAAAAATGTGCTACCTAAATAAAATATATTCATAGCCTAAATTCAATTAGGTTGCAACTCCT